TGGGAACTCGAAGAGCACGAAGTGGCCTACAGTTGGCTCCGGGCATTCAAAATGTGGCCCGGGAATGGAGTTCTGGGAAATCGAAGAGCACGAAGTGGCCTACAGTTGGCTCCGGGCATCCAAAATGTGGCCCGGGAATGGAGTTCTGGGAAATCGAAGAGCACGAAGTGGCCTACAGTTGGCTCCGGGCATCCAAAATGTGGCCCGGGAATGGAGTTCTGGGAAGTCGAAGAGCACGAAGTGGCCTACAGTTGGCTCCGGGCATCCAAAATGTGGCCCGGGAATGGCGTTCTGGGAACTCGAAGAGCACGAAGTGTGTGACTGTTGCATCCGGCCCCCCAGAATGTGGCCCGGGAATGGCGTTCTGGGATGTCGAAGAGCACTTTGTGTGTGACTGTTGCATCCGGCCCCCCAGAATGTGGCCTGGGAATGGAGTTCTGGGAAGGCGAAGAGCACGAAGTGTGTGACTGTTGGTGAAAAACGAGCCCGGCTCATGCCGCCCGGAAACGCCCCAACACCTGCCCGGACCCCCCTGTGGAGTGATCTGTGAGCTCTTTTGAAACCACTAGAAACCTATCAGTCTTCGCTGTTAGGTAAAAATCGCGTTCTCGCCTTTCCCGGCTCTCAGAGGCCCATGACGGCCCTAGCAGCCTCCAAAATGGCCCCAAGACAGCCCAAGCAGCACCCAAGGGGGCCCCAAGACGGCCCAAAGAGGCCCCCAAGACGATCCAAGAGGCCTCCAAGACGGCCCAAGAGCACCCCAAGATGGCCCAGCGCCCCTCGCCAGACCTCCGGGCGTACCAAAAGTGGTGGCCCCCTTCTGGGCCTCAAAACCTATAACAACCTTTGGAAAATCGATGATTTCGGCTCCTTGGGCCTCTTGAGGGTCCAAGACGGCGTGAAGACGGCTGAAGATGGTCTCAAGACGGGACAAGACGGCCGCAAGACGGCCCAAGATGGCCCCAAGAGGGCCCAAAACGCCCCCAAGATGGCCCAAGAGAGCCCGAAGAAAGCCCACCAGAGGGCCTCCAGATGCCAAAAACATTATTTTTTGTTAGTTTTGCAAAGATTTCAGCGTTCTCGGTGTTGTCGGCTCTTCAGAAGCCCATGACGGCCCAAGCAGCCTCCAAAATGGTCCCAAGACAACCCAAGAAGCACCCAAGGTGGCCCCAAGACAACCCCAGGGAGCCCCAAGTCAGCCCAAAGAGGCCCCCAAGACGGTCCAAGAGGCCCCCAAGACGGCCCATGAGGATTCCAAGAGGGCCCGAAGGCGGCCGCGAGAGGCTCCCAAGAAGGCCCCCGAAGGGGCCAAACGGCGCAAAAGCGCCCCAAGACGGCCCAAGACGGCCCAAGACGCCCCCAAGAGGCCGCCAAGAGGCCCCCAGGAGACCCCCAAAACGCCACAGGAAGCCTCCAAGAAGCTTCCAAGAACCCCCCAGGAGGCTTCCAAAAAGCCCCACAACGGCTGGACTGTACGTGCTCCGGACGTGCACCCCGCGAAGCGAGAGGAATCCACGTCCGGAAGTGACGTGTTGCCGGAGGCAGGTCCGCGGACGCTGTAACGCAATGGATCCAATGTGTCCAATGCTTGCATAATTCCTACATATTGTATCATGTTACATTATTATGTGTCCCCCCCTACCCCCCCTGGAGTCGCGCCACTTCCATCGACCCTCAGGAGGAGGGCCCCTTCTGGGCCTCAAAATCTAGAAAAACCTATGGAAAACCGATGATTTGGGCACCTTGAGCCTTTTGGGGATCCAAGAGGGCGTGAAGACGGTTCAAGATGGTGTCAAGACGGGACAAGACGGCCCCAAGACGGCCCAAGATGGCCCCAATAGGGCCCACAAAGCCCCCAAGATTGCCCAAGAGGGCCCTCAGAGCGCCCACCAGAACGCCGCCAGAGGCCAAAAACATAGATTTTCCTTAAGTTGTTTCAAAGAATTTCGCGTTCTCGCCTTTCCCGGCTCTCAGAGGCCCATGACGGCCCTAGCAGCCTCCAAAATGGCCCCAAGACAGCCCAAGCAGCACCCAAGGGGGCCCCAAGACGGCCCAAAGAGGCCCCCAAGACGATCCAAGAGGCCTCCAAGACGGCCCAAGAGCACCCCAAGATGGCCCAGCGCCCCTCGCCAGACCTCTGGGCGTACCAAAAGTGGTGGCCCCCTTCTGGGCCTCAAAACCTATAACAACCTGTGGAAAATCGATGATTTCGGCTCCTTGGGCCTCTTGAGGGTCCAAGACGGCGTGAAGACGGCTGAAGATGGTCTCAAGACGGGACAAGACGGCCGCAAGACGGCCCAAGATGGCCCCCAGAGGGCCCAAAACGCCCCCAAGATGGCCCAAGAGAGCCCGAAGAAAGCCCACCAGAGGGCCTCCAGATGCCAAAAACATTATTTGTTGTTAGTTTTGCAAAGATTTCAGCGTTCTCGGTGTTGTCGGCTCTTCAGAAGCCCATGACGGCCCAAGCAGCCTCCAAAATGGTCCCAAGACAACCCAAGAAGCACCCAAGGTGGCCCCAAGACAACCCCAGGGAGCCCCAAGTCAGCCCAAAGAGGCCCCCAAGACGGTCCAAGAGGCCCCCAAGACGGCCCATGAGGATTCCAAGAGGGCCCGAAGGCGGCCGCGAGAGGCTCCCAAGAAGGCCCCCGAAGGGGCCAAACGGCGCAAAAGCGCCCCAAGACGGCCCAAGACGGCCCAAGACGCCCCCAAGAGGCCGCCAAGAGGCCCCCAGGAGACCCCCAAAACGCCACAGGAAGCCTCCAAGAAGCTTCCAAGAACCCCCCAGGAGGCTTCCAAAAAGCCCCACAACGGCTGGACTGTACGTGCTCCGGACGTGCACCCCGCGAAGCGAGAGGAATCGTCTCGTCTTGGGGACCTCTGGGACCGTCTTGGAGGCCTCTTCGGCCGTCTTGGAAACCTCTCGGGGAAGTCCCAGCATGGTCCCAGAGCAGCTCTGGAGCCTCTAAGATATCTTGAAAAGGCTTTAGGACGGCCCTGGCGAAGGCCCCAGCAGGTAAGAATCGCCAGATTCCCTTGGGGGGAACTGCCACTTCCTGCACAGATTCTCTTTTTGTTTTTCCAAGCGCCCTGGACTGCCTCAGAGGCCTTCACGATCGACCCAAAACGGGCCGACGGGCCCCCGAGAGCGCCCCAAGACGGCTCCAGACGGCCCCCGAAGCTGCCCGGGAGGCACCACTGCGCAGTCCCCATTTGCGCGAAGGCCGCCAGGCGCAAACAGGCGCCAGTCGAACTCGTAGTGAATCCACGACCTCTCCCTTCTGAAGGAAGAAGAGGAATAATAAAATTATTATCAGTATAAGAAAAACAACAATGATAATAACGAAAATAATAATACGAATAATGCGAACACTAAATGCGAATAAAAACAAAAAAAAGAACAGCAGCAGTACTAAACAACAAAAACAGTACTAATAAGAATGGTAATGATAATACTAAGGATGGTAATGGTAACGCAAATTATAAGGATAAATGTAAAGGAAACAATAATAATATTTTTATATATTTTTTTTTTAAAAAAAAAAAAAAAAAAAAAAAAAAAAAAAAAAAAAAAAAAAAAAAAAAAAAAAAAAAAAAAAAAAAAATGGTAACACAAATAAAAAGAATAGTCTTAGTAGTAGTAGTAGTAGTAGTAGTAGCAGTGGTAGAAATAGTAGTTGCTGTAGTAGTACTTGTTGTTGCTGTAGTAGTAGAAGTTGTAGTAGTAGCAGTAGTAGTGGTAGTAGTAGTAGTGGTAGTAGTGGTAGTAGTGGTAGTAGTGGTAGTAGTAGTAGTAGTAGTAGTAGTAGTAGTAGTAGTAGTGGTAGTGGTAGTAGAAGTAATAGACATAGTAGCAGTAGTAGTAATAATAGTAGTAGTAGTAGTCAGCGTAGTAGTAATAGTAGTGGTAGTCGTAGTCCGAGTACTAGTAGTAGTAGCAGCAGCAGCAGTAGTAGTAGTAGTTGTAGTAGTAGGAGTAGTAAAAGTAGTAGTATCAGTAAAAGTAGTAGTAGTCGTAGTAGTAGTAAAAGTAGTAGTAGTAGTAGTAGTCGTAGTAGTAGGCAAGGTAAAGTAAGGTAAGGCAAGGTAAGGTAAGGTAAGGCAAGGTAAGGTAAGGTAAGGTAAAGTAAGGTAACGTGAGGTAAGGTAAGGTAAGGCAAGGTAAGGTAAGGTAAGGTACGGTGAGATAAGGAACGGTAAGATAAGGTAAGGCAAGGCAAGGCAAGGTAAGGTAAGGTAAGGTAAGGTAAGGTAACGTGAGGTAAGGTAAGGTAAGGTAAGGTAAGGTAAGGTAAGGTAAGGTAAGGTAAGGTAAGGTAAAGTAAGGTAAGGTAAGGTAAGGTAAGGTAAGGTAAGATAAGGTAAGGTAAGGTAAGGTAAGGTAGGGTAAGGTAAGGTAAGGTAGGTCGGTAGGTCGGTAGGTCGGTAGGTCGGTAGGTCGGTAGGTCAGTAGGTCGGTAGGTTGGTAGGTCGGTAGATCGGTAGGTCTGTAGGTCGGTAGGTCGGTAGGTCGGTAGTAGTAGTAGTAGTAGTAGTAATAATAATAGTAATCGTAGCAGTAGTAGCAGTAGTAGCAGTAGTAGTAGTAGTAGTAGTAGTAGTAGTAGTAGTAGTAGTAGTAGTAGTAGTAGTAGTAGCCGTCGTCGTCGTCGTCGTCGTCGTCGTAGTAGTAGTAGTAATAGTAGTAGTAGTAGTAGTAGTAGTAGTAGTAGTAGCAGCAGCAGCAGCAGCAGCAGCAGCAGCAGTAGTAATAACTTTGATCAAGTATGACCTCGGCATCCGCGGGCCCCTACGGGGTCGGCGGTTTGGCGCAAGCCAATGCTTAAACATCAGGGCCCTCTGACCCCGAGCCCGAGACCCAGCCCCAGCCCGCGCCCGAGCCCGAGCCCGAGCCCAGGCCCGAGCCCGGGCCCGAGCCCCAGCCCGAGCCCCAGCCCGAGCCTTCGAGCCCGAGCCCGAGCCCGGACCTCGGACCCAAGGGGCCGAGGCCCGCGCGGGCGCGCCTTGGCGAAGAGCTCGGCGGAGGTGGGGACCCTGCCGGCGCTGGTCGGCTCGGAGGCGGGCGCCTCGGCAGCGGAGGCGGCCCAGAGCCGTCAGACAGTAGCTCACGGCGGAGGAGGAGGAGGAGGAGGAGGAGGAGGAGGAGGAGGAGGAGGAGGAGCGAGGAGCGAGGAGGAGCGAGGAGGAGCGAGGAGGAGCGAGGAGCGAGGAGCGACGAGGAGCGAGGATGAGCGGGGAGGGCGGGGGAAGGCAACGAGGTTCGGCTCGGACGATGGAAGGTGTCTGCTTCCCGACTGAGTGGAAGGGGTCTCCACCGTGCAAGAGCTGCCTGGGCAGAGAGGGAAGAGGGCGACGAAGAAGAGAGGAAGGGGAAGACGAAGGAGGACGAGAGATGAAACTGCGTCCGCAGTTCCAGAGATCAAGCCCAACAGCGCGCCCAATCGGGCGCAAAGCAAACATAAGGCATATCGCTCACATTGCGCTATTGGGGGCGATCGGTCGCTTTGGGGGCGCTATTCGAGCGCTATTTGACCGATATTCGGTGCTACTGGGCGCTTATGGCCCTAGTTGGTGCTATTGAGCACTAAAGGGCGCTACAGTGAAAACGTATAGTAAGGACGCGTGGTAAGGACGCAAGACCCTTGAAGGCAGAAACTGGCCTGCGAAAATTGCTAGGGACGGGCCGCAGAGGCTGAGGCAGGCAAGGACCCGAGGGTACCCTTGAAAAAGTCGTTTGTCCTTACTATGCGCGTTGACTGTATTCGCTATTCGCCAAAATACACTCAAGACGAGCGGAAACCTCCAGCGGCCCAGCTGCGGCAGGTCGGGGGACGCGCGGACGAGGTCGCGGGGCGCCGGGGTAGGAACAAAGGCGACACCACCATAACCAGGGACCACCAGCGGGAGGAGCCACGGTGAGTCCACTGGTGGTGTGGTCCCTCTCCCTCGCTCGAGACATCCCCCATCCCCAGCTCAGGAAGGCATCGTGGACCTCCTCGCTGAAGCTGGGCCCACTGGTAGTGGTGGTGGCGGTGGTGGTGGTGGTGTCGCCTGTCCCCCCCCCAAGGGGAAAGGAGAGCAGCAGAGAGACCACCGCCACCGAGGACCCATCGGGGTGGGATCCTGGCGGGTTCGAGAGCGGATCGGTCCGACACTGGGTCCACCAGCCAAGGGCCCTGCTCGACCGAGCCCGTGGGGCGGAGCCCGACCGCGGAGCACGTGGGCGCGGCGGCGGCCCAGCGGCGGCAGGTCGGGGACGCGCCGGCGAGGTGGCGGGGCGCCGGGGGCCGTGGGATCTGGGCGCCGCAAGTCTTCACGCCGGGCAGTTCCGCCCAGCTTCGGGCCCCCGGGGCAGCACAGGTCGATCTGGCTCGAAGAGTGCGGCAGAAAGGTGGGGTCCAGGGCTCCGGTCGTGATTGTCGCGACGTTGCACGTTTTCGCAGCCTCGGATCCCAGAGAGGAGGGAGGGAGCAAAGAAGAAACGGCAGCAAAACAAATCGTCGGAGGTCCGCGCTTGCTTCTTGGATCGGTGCTGGAGCCCCTCGGCGGAGCCTCCGGCGCCGCCCCTGGCGCGCTCAGCCCTCAGAGGGGAGACAGAGACCGCCGCCACCGAGAACCCATCGGGGAGGGCCGACCCCCCCCCACGGATAGCTTCTCGGTGGCGGTGGCCTCTGCTTCTCGTCTGGGGGCGACCTCCCAAAGACTCGCGGGCTTCCAAGAGGGGCTTCTTCGACGGCAGCCGTGGGCGCGCCGTTGAATAGCGGGGCGCACAGGGGGCCCAAATATGCGCTGCGCCCCCAGATGACAACTCTGGACGAAAAAACAGACCCGGGGAAGGGGGCCAAATTTCCCCAAGCCAGAAGCCCATGGAATCCCCGCCAAAAGCACAGCGCTCAGCAGCTGCGGCGGGGCCCGGCGGGCCACCGCGGGGATCCGCGGGCGGGGGACCATCTCATCGACGGCTCGGTCCCCTCCTACTCCTACTCCTACTCCTACTCCTACTCCTACTCCTACTACTACTACTACTACTACTACTACTACTACTACTACTACTACTACTACTACTACTTCCTCTTCTACGACCTGGACTACAACTACTACCACCACTACTACTAGTATCACTACTACTACTACTACTACTACTACTACTACTACTACTACTACTACTACTACTA